CTAATAGAATGTGTTCGAGTAAAAATTTTAATTAAGCTAATAACAATGTGTTCAAGTAAAAATGTTAATTAAGCTAATAAAATTTGTTCAAGTAAAAATTTTAATTAAAACTAATAGAATGTGTTCGAGTAAAAATTTTAATTAAACTAATAAAATGTGTTCGAGTAAAAATTTTAATTAAGCCAATAAAAATGTGTTCAAGTAAAAATGTTAATGTTAACGAACATTAGTTTCAAACTTCCATTTAAGGAACAACATACATACCAACACTGTGCACATAAAAATAAACAAAAAATTACGCTTTGTCATCAGGTATGACGTCATTTCTAATGTGTGTACGTGTTTTATACTGTTACAGCGTTACCTGTATGGAGAGCTTATATTTCGTTTGTTTGTTGTTAAAGCACGAAGCTATAGAATGGGCTACCTCCGCTGTGTCCAGCGCAGGGATCGAACCCACAATTTTAACATTACGTGCCCTCGAGCTTAGCGCTGAGTAAAAGGGGCGTTTATAAAACATGGCACTATCGTTATTCTTTCGTGCACCGTAAGCCTCTTTTCGTTTTACGAAATTTCTGGAAACTTTTTCTTTTTTATGGTCAGCCAGCAATAAAGTTTTAGATTCCAAGTTTCATCTCCACAAAAGTGTTCTTCTCCTTCTAATGTTTAATTGAATGTGTTATATTTTTACTCTTCTGTTTACAGTAACTGATTCGAATGGTTGGTTATGTATTGCGAAAAAACAACAACAAAAAACAAATACGAGTCGTGAAAGAAGCAAGTAAAATTATACTATTTCAAAGTGGCAATGCCCCTGTGCGTGAGAAGCGTAATAAGTGTAACTGTGCAATTTATATGATGCATACTTAGTTTATAAAATGTTACAACTATTCATTTTTAATTTAAAAGTTGACTGGGTTAACAAGAGTTGTTGACACTGTGTACGAAGAAGAAAAAAAAATGCGTGGATTTCTGATCCAAATAAGCTACCTACATAGATCAGAACAAAAGTTAGCCATGTAAATAATGTAGAACATTTGATATAGTGTTCTTAGCTTGCAGTAGGGTATCCTAGCTGATCATACAGCCTCAGAACAAAAAATAAAATAAAATAGATAATATATATATAAAAATATCGAAAACTAAAGCTCTCACAATGAATTGTTGCTTTAAATAATTAAACAAATAATGATAACCAGCAGAGACTATTTAGGTGTTATGGTACCTAGTATGTTTATTTGTCGAAGTTCCAAATAACTTTTAAGACTTTGTTTTGCTCTTGATAACTTGTAAAAATATTAAAATATCGAAACAGTAATCATGTACAACATGAAGCTATTAGCATCTGATGCAGATGCGATGCAGACATATTTGAGGAATCTTTTCTTGTTCCCCCCTTAGATTTTTCTTTCGTTTCTGTTGCCATAGCAATATAGTCAATTCACACAAATTCTTATTCCTCTCTGGGTTCTCTAACTGTATATTCTCCACTCGCGTGAACACTTACAAAACTGTGCATATTTAATAGTGTGTGCTCTCCTGCTCTAAGCCTAATTTTAGTGAGACATAGGGGCCTACTCAAAAATATATGATAGAAGTATTAGGTGAGTAAATAGTACATTTCCTCTTGCTCTAAGCCTTATTTTAGCGAGACAGAGGTTTATTCATCAAGAGACATGATAGAAGTATTAGGTGAGTAAATAGTACATTTCCTCTTGCTCTAAGCCTAATTTTGAAATAATGAGACATAGGGCCTACTCAAAAATATATGATAGAAGTATTAGGTGAGTAAATACTACATTTCCTCTTGCTCTAAGCCTTATTTTAGCGAGACAGAGCTTTATTCATCAAGAGACATGATAAAAGTATTAGGTGAGTAAATAGTACATTTCCTCTTGCTCTAAGCCTTATTTTAGCGAGACAGAGGTTTATTCATCAAGAGACATGATAGAAGTATTAGGTGAGTAAATAGTACATTTCCTCTTGCTCTAAGCCTTATTTTAGCGAGACAGAGCTTTATTCATCAAGAGACATGATAAAAGTATTAGGTGAGTAAATAGTACATTTCATCTTAATATAATAGCTATTAACGGTGTACGAAACTAGAATACGGTTAACAATAATATGAAGAATTCTATCATATTAAGTTTAAGGATAAATAAATAAAATATACTAAACAAACAGCACTAAAACAATTCTTGTCTTTAAACAAAAAAATACATATTTTACCATTATCAACGCTTTCTCATTCTTTACATGTATTTACATTGAGAACGAAGTCTGCTCTGATGTAAGCTATTATTTAGTGAAGGCCGTAAAACAGTATTTCGGTCGGTCATCGATTGGAAAAATTAATTAATTAATAATATGAAGATACTGGAGATGATCTCGTACAAGTTTTGAACAATATAAAAGTTTAAGTTGTCGTTTTTTTGTTTATAAGATTAATTTATATTTTTGTCTAATTTCAGTTTATCCTCTTTAGAAACTTTATTTACAATAATTTGCTTGAATCTGTTTGTTTGTTTTTTTTTTGGGGGGGGGGGGGGGTTAATGCTTTCGTAGTTACCTAACTCTAAATTACAGTGATTCTACTACAAATAATACATCTTATCCAATCTTTATATAGATAATACAGAAAAAGAGAAAGGGACCTGTGTATGTGTGTGTGTGTGTGCTGAAACTGCAGAGACTGGGTACTGAAATGTATTTTACTTGTGTTCTCATCAGTCCAGAGCTTGGATCAGAAGAAAGACCAACTTTTAGAGACATGTACGTCACTTCTTGTAGTTCTGGAACTCTAGTGGGCAAAGTTAAGTCTATAGGTCTGAATCTCCATCGGTTGGATACGGACATCATTAAAGCTCTGGACTTTCCGAAGAGAATGAATTCCAGTCAATGACGTTTGTTCAATGGACTGTAATTGCACGTGACGAAATTTGCTTAATTGGGCCTTGATAGGTTCGTTCTTACACGGATCAGTAACGTGAGCTTTCACCTTGCACGAGCGACCCATGCGGTGGAGGATAAGAAGGCTGCTATTGGATGGATGGTTATAGTTCTGAGCTTCCGGTGTGGTCCGAAGGTTCACCAAATGGACATCGCACGGAAAAGCTTTTTCGATGAAAGTCATTGCTCCCCGAAGGGGGCGCTCATCTTTGCCATCTGAAGCTAAGATAATGGCAGGATAGTTCAACACAGAAGACAGAACGTTGGCTAGATGGCTCAAATTAGGCACTTCATCTTCTTTTGGGTCAGATCTCATTTTCTCAAGCAAGAACCAAAAATGTGCGTTAGTTCTTTTATTGTCCATAACCCCCTCAGCCATCCCACGACTGTCGTCGAATCGGAGTCGGCGGTCCAGCACGACTTCAAGCCAACCAGAGTGAAGACTACTGCACCCGTGGGCATGAGAAACGAGCATTGTTAACCTCCAATCAGAGTCTTCAATATAGGCTGCAGACGTAACTGGATAGAAGTTGGCTTCCGTAGGAACATGCGCATGCGTATATCTTTTAATCATCTGAAACCCACTGGAATCTGTGAAGAAAGCATTTTCACTGTTTAAATCACTCTCCACTCTCAGGAACAACTCTACATTATTTCGCCTGCTTTCAGACATGTCAAATATCGTATCGACTTCTATACCTTCCGCCAGGGGGCCATCAAAGTGGTAGACGCGATAGGTAACAGAGAATACTCCTGGATACACAGTGGTCACCTCTGAGGTTATCTGACCCTGCACGACACGAATAATGGGAAAACGTTCGCTTATATTAAACACGGGATACATTTTATTCGGCTGAAATAAATACGCCCCACTGTGGAATTCCTCAGAATTATAATATAATACTTTCATCGCCACTTTCTTGACAACCTTCTCTGCTGTAAGTTCTACAGAATCCAATAGTCCCGAGGTTTTGGAAATCACAGCTGTCAAGAACTGATTCTTTAACACAATTTCTTCGTCGCCTGGATTCCGAAAGTTAAACAATGATGCTCTGGGAATTTTTGCAAAGACATCGCTCACAAAGACAGTTATGGTTGTCTTGGAAACTTTAAGTAGTTCTTCCTTTCTGTACACAATGTACGTTATTAATGACAACGGTGGCAACTCTGCCACGAACAAAAGTTCAAAGATACTGCTCAAAATCTCTACTGATCCATTCCAAGCTGGATTGACCTGGGAAGGAACTTCCTTGCCGGAAGGATCCACGACACGCACGTGAGGATACTTGATTCCAACTCGAATCACTTCTTGTCGGTAATGAGGCATAGAATTGAAGACTACCACTTTTTGACCTTCCACTTTTGGAACGTTCAAAGCTACTTTTTGGGGTAGGGTGTCATAGGATGGCCGTTGGATATCTGGGAATAAATATGACGTCATTGGATGGGCAGGAAGTAGATCGCTCGGCTTGGTAAAAGGCTCGTGAAGTAGAAGAAACTGTGCAGAATGAGAGATGACTCCCATTACTTCTTTGAATCCTCGATACAACTGTTGCCCGTAGTCATGCATGACTATTTCCTTGGATGTTCCCGTAATAGCGTCGTGGTGCTGGAACAGACCCAGACTTTGGCGTGCAAGAGTTAAATAGTTATAATCTTGATCTAACCTTTCTCGCAGTCTGATGTTCCCTTGTTGCCGAATGACTGTCCTTGCCAAAGTGTACAATATCTCAGCACTTCGTAGCCAGTGTTCCAGTTCTCTGGACAGGTGCTTCCAGTAGGGTCTGGTAGAAAAATAGCCGGTCCAGTAGGAGGGTCGACCTTCGGCGTAAATGTCCCCGTAAGGGTGGAAGTCTCCAACTAGCGTTGGATACTGGTCTCCATTTAGCTTCTTCATCCGCTGGTGGACCTCTTGAAAGTAGTCATTTAGGGTTCCAAATTGAATTTCGACGTTCCAGTGTTCTTGAGAGTTGATGTAGTCAAATAACACCTTGTAATTCCGGTACTGCTGATCCCATTCCATATCGTGATTGAAACGGAAATCATCCCCAAGCAACGCCAGTGCCACATTGTGAGGAAATAAGGAAGCCATGCGACCGTACTGACCCACCAATAATTCAGCTTTCTCATGGACGTTATCCTTGGTCACTCTGGAAGCTTTGCTCTCAGTAAATTCTCCAGCAACGCGCCGGAAGTCAAACTGAAGGCAAACATCAGTATCGGGTCCGCAAGCATGTTTAACACTGTACAGATCGAAAGGCGCCAAGTGGCATAAAATGTCCTCATCTTGAGAATTATTGAATGCCGAGCTGGAGTCAAACTGTTGTCTCCACCAAAACTCCAACTGCTCTCTAGCAGCTAGAAACTGCTTCCACGCGTAATGTGTTCTCTGGATGTATGTGTTCTTGATCCCCGAAGACCTCAATAAATAAGGCACAGTCGAACCGTGACCAAACGGGTCAATTGACCAACCAGTTGTTGGCGCCACTCCAAGGGTACTTTTCATCCACTGATGGCCTTCAATTAGTTGGTCAATCATGGCGTAGTAGTGGGCAGCTGCTTCGTCCGTCATTACCCATCCACCGGTTACTATCTCCAGTTGTCCACGCATAATAAGGTCTTTTAAGGTCTCACGAAGGTGAGGACGATTTTTCAAGCTTAAATTGAAGACGAAAACTGAACATTAGATAAAAAAATAACACTTATTTAAAATGTATAGTGTTGAAGTCAATGATACATTAAATGAAGTCAGTTTAGTAATGATTTGTTTCTTCAAAAATTTTCGATGTTTAAAATGGTAAACAATTAATAATTATAACATATATACACACACAAGGATCCTCAACACCACCCGAAGCACATTGGTATTCCAGTGTACAAATAAAACTACCTTATATAGTAGACGACAAGACCCACGCAATAACCAGATGAGGACAACAAATTCGAGCAATATCGGCTCTTAACATTCGTCCACAGAGATTGATATTAAGGAATATCACCAAATATCCTAAAGATTTTATAGCCAAATCGAAACTGTTCGTATCTCCCACTGTATCTTTTACCGCACTAGCTTTAAACTGTAACTTATATATAGTTACCATATACAGCTACGAGATCGTTTACGTTTAACTGTGTTTTCCAAATCAGTTGTTTTAGTTTGGTCCCACTTTAAATGACAAATGTAGTTTATATATATATTAAGTTTTTACATCCATCTTCGCTTACAGCTTAACATTTAATGCCTCTTTGAGATCCTGTACGGGATTCTGCGCGCGCGCGAGCGCGAGTGACGTTCCTTTTTATTCACCAATTCACAGCGCTACAATTTTCTATTGTAGTTGTGATCAATATTCCAGGCTTTACCTACACATTCATGTAAATTAAATAGTTCAAAGACGAATATTACGACAACTAGGTAATATCAGTGTGATCATTTTAAAACCCACTAGAACAAGTATTTAAATAACACCGTTTAACGTTATCATTAAGCGTTTGGACGACGTTTTTTTTTTGTTTTGTTTTTTATGATGGATCGTTCATCAAACATTTTATTGGTCAAAACTTGTTCTGTCTGAATAATGTAAATCAAGAATAACAGATGAGAGAGGACTCACCTGTCCCAGTACTTGGCCAGATAAGAGATTTCTGCCCAAACAAAAGTCATGTCACGATACTGAGTGAGTTTATTTAACATGCTGTTCAGGATGTGGACGGTGGTACTCATGAAGTACTCATCAAACGTTTTTAGCCACCCGGGGTCATTGTGGGAGTGTGGCAAAACAAACACCTGCAAATAACAGAAATAACATAGGTATCGTTATGGGAGTGTGGCAAAACAAACACCTGCAAATAACAGAAATAACATAGGTATCGTTATGGGAGTGTGGCAAAACAAACACCTGCAAATAACAGAAATAACATAGGTATCGTTATGGGAGTGTGGCAAAACAAACACCTGCAAATAACAGAAACCATAGGTATCATTATGGGAGTGTGGCAAAACAAACACCTGCAAATAACAGAAACCATAGGTATCATTATGGGAGTGTGGCAAAACAAACACCTGCAAATAACAGAAACCATAGGTATCATTATGGGAGTGTGGCAAAACAAACACCTGCAAATAACAGAAATAACATAGGTATCATTATGGGAGTGTGGCAAAACAAACACCTGCAAATAACAGAAATAACATAGGTATCGTTATGGGAGCGTGGAAAAAAAACAAAAAAACTTGCAAGTAGCAAGTGCCATGGGTATCATTGGGAGAGTGTGGCAAATATTTACATTTATTATTACTAGATGGCGCTAATTTCAGCTAAATGCCTAAAAAGAACTTAATCGTGAAAACTATAGGTAGAAAAAGCATATTATTTGGAGAAAAAAAATAGAATAAACAATTATTTGTGTATTTAACTAAAATATTGACACATATTTAATTTTCATCAAACGTTATTTGGCATCTAAAGTGTAGCATGGGCGTGAACTATAATGAAATATATCTAGTAACTTAGAAATATTAAAGTAAAATAAGGAAGAAAAAAAACGAATTGTAAAATTTTAAACTTGTCAGAATGTGCTATACTCATTGAAATCCCATCTATATAAATCCTTCAGAAACAAAAAAAGACAGTTCCGTAAATACTGAATGTTATAATGTACCGTCACTATGACGACTTTTATCTTAGTCATAGCATTATTACTTACGTGAATAGCGCCACCACGGACCGTGGTTAATGTGTCATATATATGGTAACATAGCTTGTTTATCAACTTTAGTTTGTCGTCGTGAAGAACTTACAATCAATATAATTTCCTGTAATATTTTCCATATCAATTCTCTTCGTACCGTTTTATTTGGCGAAATTATTTGAACTAAAAAAAAAAAAAATCATAACGGTGTGGCAAATGTCAAACTTTACCGAGAGAACAAGTCATTATTTAATTTAGCTGATAATATAGTCGTGCGTGCGTTATAAAAATGACAGTCAACTTCTGCTATACAATTGGAGTAGCTCAAGAGTTGGCGTTGAATGTTGATGATTGCCCGCCTTCTCTATTGTTTCAATTCGAAATTGCCCCCCCCCCCCGGGATAAAGGGGGTATGTATGGTAAGTTAAACCACTAAAAACGGGTTTTCTTTCCCACAAGGGGGGGAAACTCAATT